AAACCAACTAAACAAGTTTTAATGATATCTTTTAAATATTTTGTGTTGAATGAAACATGACCATGAAGAATCAGGTGAAAAAATCGCAATTAAAAAAGCCTAAACGCACACCATCACAAGCATTCAATTAGGAGTACAATTTACATCTTCCTAATTATACCATACAATGTACATTACATGTTGAACACACCCATTTAGCCCATGAGCCCCTATTTACAGATACAAAAAGCATGATTATAGGAAAACACACCCATTTAGCCCATGTGCCCCTATTTTACCTGCTTTCCTAGGGATTTGAATTTTCTTTAAATATATGAATTTTTGTATTATTTTCTAAAAACACTGAATCTAAACCGGAATCAATCCCATATCAATTCAAACGAATCTAAACATAAACCGTAGATGAAATACGAAGTCAAGAAATAGCCATGAAAAATAATGACTACTAAAACTGAGAAATAATACACTTGTAGAAATAATAATATATAGTTCCTCTCTATATATATATCTCTCTAACCGTGAATTCTCCGACACCAAATTACATAAATAAAGCTACAAGAACATGCACTTGTACAGTTATATACCTCTCTATCAGTCATCATGACACATCGATGCCGATCTTCGTGAAAGACCAAATCACAGATTCACTTTTCTGAAGAATCTGAGAAGTTAATTCTCAAATTATCATATACATATACAATTACAGGATGAAGAATCATCAAATAAATATTATCACAGACCAAGACATTTTTGCTTCAACCTCTCCAGATTAATGGTCAACACAGGATCATAGTGTTTTCAGGACAAAATACGTTTGCTTCGAGTTCAATTTGCGTTGTCCTCCTAGATAGATTTCAGACTCAAAGATCAAGTTTTGAGAACTTACTCAAAAGACCCGGTGTCCGCCCGTAGAGTGCAACGCCAAAGTGTCAAACAAGTTTTAGTAGCTTCATGTTTCCAGTTGAATTTGCAGCTACAAGCATATTTGATTTTTTTCTCCAACATACGCTCGACACAAACTGTCCATTGTCATCAAAGTTTTCGTTTCCAGAAATTGAATCGACCGATCCAAACTTGTATGAAGTCATTGGCATTGGTAATGATTTATAGTAACTATACACCTGATAAAGCGAAACACAAGCAAAGAAGAGTTTTCTTTTTAATAAGTTATAATCAACAAGACGATGATGACAATTCAATGCAGCTTTATAAACTATGCGCAATTGACATCTAGAACTGAATATAAACATTGGTCTCTGACAATTTAATAATACCTCATTGGTCTCTGAACCACAGGCTATGTATCCATCCAAGACCGATAATCCGACAAAATTCTGTATTCAGGTAACAAAGATTAGACATCAGAACTAACCAATGATGTTGGATGAGAAGTTAAGAGTAGATAGAAATAGGTTTGGGACCAACCTTTTGATTTGTATGTCCTTTATACGTCAATGAACAAGCACCAGAAGATAAACCAGACGAATTCGTCTTGTTAAGATTCCAAAGCTTGAGAGAATTATCAGTGGAAGCAGAAACAATGGTCTCTGAATCCATAAATTTAACATAGCTAACAGCTTTCTCATGACCAGCCAATGTGCACCAAGGAGTTTTGACATACCGAAGATCATAGCAATAGACCTTGTAATCAGCTGAACCAAATGCCAATAAGTGATTTGAATAAGAAGAGAATTGCACGCAACACACATTTGCTGGACTCCAAATTGTGCCTAACGACCGTTTCTGCATAATAGCCACCAGAGAAGAACATAAATTCCACTTTGTTTGGATTAGTCATAAGTTTAAACAGAGAATCATATTTTCTGGAGCTATATACTGACTTGGGGTGAAATAAAACATCAGGTTCAGTAACTTGACATAAAAACTTGTTGCAATTTTAAGAGATAAGGGGGAAGAGCCGTGCCTCATTGATGCTCCAAAGCTTTACAGAACAATCGTCACTCCCACTGACAAATTTTGTCGGGTCAGAAGGAGAAAAATCAACTGACCAGGCTCTCTTCTGGTGTTCATTGTACTGTGAAAACCCTTGTCCAGTCCCCGCATCCCATATCTGCATTCACCAAACACAATACAGTAAGAAAATATCAAGTGAAAACCACGCCAATTCAGTTTCACGGTCAATTAGATCCTACCATGGGATGGTAAATAAGAAAGATTTCAAGCTTGACATAGATAGGAGAAACTATTAATTCCCATACGCACCTGAACTACACCATCGTAGTCAGTCGAGGCCAAATAGTTTTTGATGTAACTATTCCAGCAAACACAGCTTAATTTGGATTTGTTGACCATCTCTACAAGTGGATAATGAACACCGATAGATTCATCCATAAATGCATTGAAGTCAAAAATCTTGATTTTCTTTGATATCCCAGCTGCTGCTATGTGTTCCTCATCAGGGTCAAAACTCAATGAGCAGACCACACTTGCAGAGTTTAAAAGGTCTCCACTTCTTATTGTCCCACATGTTTCAAACTTGCTATACCGAGCAAATTTGCACAACCCCTCGAAAAACACTTCCAATTGATCTGAAGATTTTCCTTTGGTTCTCGTATCCTGATTCTCATTTTGGTTTTCAGACCACCTGTCCCTGTCCTTTAGAAGGCTTTTGTCAGAACGGGCACTAGCAACAGAATCCAATAACTTCATTTGTGATCTCATGAAGAAATATGCATCTTCAAGGTGACGGATATTACTCATCAGCCTGTCTGTATTAGCAGTCGGTACAAACATGGCGCCAGAAGTAGTTGCACGGCACTCGTCTAAGGGAGATGATTGCGCTCTTCTTTCAATATCTCCATGAGATCTCACCAAAGAAGCATTTGAAGAATATCTTCGCTCAGCCTCCTTAATATCATCCTCCAAAGTCTGGATGTCTTGCAGAAGCTTAGATGCATTTTTCTGCTTCTGCTCTTCTAGTGAAGACAAAAAATGAAGTAACAGCTCAGATATCTCCTCATCAGGAGCAGTCAATTTAACTGAATCATCCTCACATATTAACTCAGACTTTAGTATATCTCTGTCACAGAAAAAGAAGAGATGAGAACATAAAAAGAAAGAAGAAGATATTTCACAAAGTAGCATTGCCATTTTCTCTTCACAATTGTCAGGGAAAACATCGAATAAAATTAAAGGTATCCAGCAATGAAATCTTATAGAAGACTATATAAGCTAGAGCAACAAAAAATCTCGACCAAGGCCACACATCTTCTTTTTACCACTTCTAGTAAATATTCCCCACAAGATTCATTTCAGAGCAGCACTCAGCAAAATACCTAGCTGTTGGTCGGGAGGGAGGTTCAGGATGTAGAAGCCAAAGACAAAATCCGGCTTCCTTTGGGTATCTTGAGAGAAATGATGGTGGGAGAATTCGATGACGTAAATCTGCCATCATTGCAGCATGCATCTCACCGGACTCGCCATGGCATAGCAACTGAAACCATGGTCAAGCTATATATGTCAGTAAAGTAACAGGAAACTGACAACTTATACTGCAGGCAGGTAAATACTAGCTCAGGGGTTCAACGGTCAAGCTCAAATGAGCAATTTCAGAAATGCGAATAAAAGACATAAGGAGTATATGGCAATACAAGATGTTTAAGTGCAAGGAAATGTTACATCCTTCGTGGTATAAAAAAGAAGTTAAGTAAACCAAAAATCTCATCACAAATATTCAACTGTATATGTCCTTACCTCAAACAGAAGAACACCAAGGGCATATATATTTGATTTTTCTCCGATATCTTCTCCATTTATCTCCTCTGGACAAGTATACCATTGCTCTTCTAGCCATGTGGACATAGACTGTTTTTTCGTCATTGAAGACACGCCCAAATTTTTGATATAGTTTTGCTGTTGAAGTTCACAACTGTCTGGATTACGTGTGTCAACCACATTTAAATCAATCAAAGGGCTTTTCCTTTTGGAAGGCTTCCCAGTTGAAGTGGCTTGAAGTTGATTCCCTCGAGAATGTACATCCAAGTCTGTTTTTCTTTTCTTCAAATCCCTACCTACGATAGATGATTCCTGAAACACGGGCCTCTTCCTATTCAAATCTTCGTCAACATCTGAATCTAAACCGTTCTTCCCAAAAGTACCACTATATCTAAGTTTCTTCGATGGAACTAACGTGAAAAGGGATGGTCTCAAGTCCATCAAGAATAAACCTTGTGAATGGGCTGAGTCAACCAGCTCCACCAGCTGCCTAAATAGACAAAGGCTGTGTCGTTTCTCTCGTTTAGCATAACTTGATCTAAGAAACTCCCTCAAACTGATTCCACAAGAAGATCTAGTATGCTTCACATCACCATGTGATACGATCCCATTTCCGTTGGGATTTGATTTTGGAGTAATTACATTTTGAGGAGTAGGTGACTTGCCATTATCCAACTTTTTTTCCTTGCCTCCTATATCTTGATCACATACAAATTCAGAAGTAGTTTCCTGGTTTTTTCCTACTACCCCTTTCCCCTTCATAGCTCTTTTGCGTATCAACTGAGAAAAACTCGAAGAACTTAACGGCGTTTTCAAGTGAACACCTTCATTGACCAATGCAGGAGCGTTCATCATGCTGTTCTCACCAGCTACTCTTAAACGTTCAGAAAACGCTTCAAGATTCTGATCATTCCTCCTACCCATAAAAGGTTTCAGGTTTTGCCTTTCCGAAGGAGCTCCAGCAAGCTGTTGTCTGATTCTCGACAACATTTGATCCATATCACGAGGCTGATGAGAATCAAGATCCCCATCTCCTGCCTTAAAAGAAGACCCTCTAGCTAAACGATAGAGATGCTCAAACTTCCCAGCCCTAGAACTATCCATACTATGATGATGATTATTATGATTACTCCCTTGAACTACCCTATAGTTCCCCAATGTCAATTCTTCAACAGAAACCTTAGCTTCCTCCGGAGACTTATTCATATCTACAACATTCCTGTGATGAACTGAGCTTCCAGGACAATCACTCCTCAAACAATCGTTTCCAGTTTCTGATTCAATCACCATATGACGATCATCAAGCTTACGAGGAACATCATCGACTCGTCCTTTCAATTCTATGTTGTTACTCGCTACTGTTTCTTCACCAACTCTTTCCATTTTCACAGATTCATCGCATCAACAAAGTCAATAATCTACACCCATCCTTGCCCTAATAATCACAACAGCATATACAAAAACAATCGAATCGCATCAGAATCAAACAACAACAAACAACAAAACCCTACCTACTAAATTCTCCGATAAGCATGCATGTTCCAGACCCTAAACTACTTGAAACACACACAAAAATCTCCGATCTCGAAACCGTATCATCATCGTAATCTCAAGCAGCACAAAATCGAAGATTATGTAAAATTTAACGGAAACTAGATGAAATCAGATCGCTTACAGAAGAAATTTTCCAGATACCGAAATCAGATCAAACAGCGAGGCGGTGATTCTCCAAACGGTGAAGCATGTGGAGAAGAAACTCGAAGAAAGCAATTTCAAAAACCACGAAGAAGAAGAAGAAAGGTGAGGCTAATAAACTTCTTCTATTGATAAAATTACGAAAAAAATATCTAACACAATGAA